AATAATTAAAATATTTCAATATATTCCATAATATTAAGTAATAATTAATTAACTAATAACTATTAATGAATTCTGATCACTGCTAAAGCTTATACCTGACAATGGTCATATTTATATTTTCTCTTTTGTTTACACTTCATCCTTCTCATCTTCGTACTTCATCCTTCATCTTTGTACAGTTATTCTTCATTCTCGTTTGGTCATCTTAGTACTTCATCCTTCATCCTCATATAGTCATCTCACATGGGATAATAATTACCTGAATATTCATCTAGTGACACAAATTATCATCCCCCATGACATTTCACCTGATTATCAATTTGGATTGCCACAATATGTCGTTGCTGATGACATTTCCACTTTATCACAATCACCAGTGTCCTTGGAATATCCAATAACAACTCTATTAAGAACAAGGCTGTTGGATGACCAAAAAAAGGAAGAATTAGAAGCAAGAAAGAGAATGTGCCATCTGTAGTTACTGTAAAAAGGAAGTGAAGTTAACCAAAAATAAATCCTGAAAATATTAATTTACCAAAGCTCACTCATGTTACTGATACATGAGATAAATTTTATATATTTACATTGGTATTTAAGTGCATGTTTAATAACTTCTCTTTACTAATAATATTTTATAGCTATACAAATCAGTGAATTGAAAAAAAATATATCGATCATCATGAATAATCAATAGTAATTTTATGACTTTGGTAAGTGATACAAGTTAAGATAGATATAAGTAAAATTGCTTCTCAGACATCTTTCATTTCAATATAATTTGAACTTTATATCTTGTTAAATAAAAATTTATTAAACTCAAAGGATCATGATGATCATGATTATTAAAACAAAGAAAAATTCATCTTTAAAAAACAAATGTCAGTGATAATTTTTTATTTTGTATTGCACTGTTTATATTTATGATTGAGATCTGACTGAAATCACGTGATCACGTGATCACATGCATAGTTCGGAATGACGAAAGGTAAGTCACGTAACAAATATGAAATTTTGATTAGTTGTAAGGCCAGAGATATATAAACAATATATCTCTAGTCAGAGATATATAAGTAATATATCTCTGGTCAGAGATGTCTATAATTTTTCTATTATTAATATTAAAATTTGTTTCCAGTTGTTTACCTTTAGTTACATCCGCAAATGTTTTATTACTGAATTTTTTGTTTAAGGTAGAATAAAAGTGAGGACTTTGTTTTTTATATAATGAATCAAATTTATTTAATCATTCAATATTTACTTGTTTAAATTTTACATCTTTCACTGTACAAGGGTATTCCTTTGCTATGTGTTTGGTCAAATGACATTAGTGACAAGTTAACATTTTGATATCTACTATTGTAATTTTATACTTTCTTATTGTCCACGTTTTTCCAATTACTTGTTCTTTAGCTTCCTTACTTGTAAAAGATAGTATTACAATTGGTTTCCTCCTATAATTTCTAGTTCTAGATATATAGTATGTTAATGCATCTATATTTTTAATATTTGGAATAATATTTCTAGCAGTAGAGCCAATTGACAAATTAAACATTTGTACTGCATGTATATCACGATCCATTAGATTATTATAACTGTAATCTAATGATGTGACATAAAGAAAGGCTTCTCCAATTAAAATACTCTATTGGCTTAATATTTCTTTTGCAATTTTTTCTTCTTTAAATATTACAATGGCCATTGCCACAACCTAGTTGGGTGTAGTGTTAAACATTTTACTTCTCCAAATTGGAGAGTTAAATCAGTTTTTAATGCATTGTATTTAACTCCAAGAGAAATGTTCACAATTTAATTCTGCATTTTTCATCTGTTACAGGATTCCTTCTATAGTTTTGTACTTTATGCAGGCAAGTGGACTTATTTGCATTTGCGCCTACATTCAATTTTTGGGCTACTTGCATTTGTTCTTTGTCATTGAAAATAACTGAGATCATTTTATCTTTTCCATTGAATTCTGGCATAACTAAAATGAATTTTGTTTTATTATTAAAAATTTTTTTCACATATTCAATTTTTTCACCAGGATTTTCTTCAAGTACTTTACTAGTGAAAGTCCATATTTTATATTTTTGTACATTGAAATCTCATCTCCAATCTGCTTGATAGCTATTTTCTGTTTCATATAATTTAATAGAATCTCTATCATCCTCGACAATTGGGTTCAAGGTTTCAATTGTTTCAATTGGTTTCTATTTTTATTTTTGTTTTTGGTGATGTAAGTCCAGTCATCCTTGTCAAGATTTCCTCCTGTTGGATTGTTTTCTAAGACTGGTTTGATAGTTGAGATATCAAGTTAAATTTTATCTGCTTTTCCTTTCCCTTTACTATTAGTTTTGTTGGTATTATACATGTTCCCAAAATTGATTTTGAATTTTGAGGTATTTCACTTTTTGAGATTTATATAAAATCTATTCTATATATGGAAGTAAAAAAAGTACTCAGTTATGTGTATATTCAATTAAAGAATAAATCTGGGAGGTCAAAAAATTTTAGATTTTAAGTAAAATAATTTCGTCTTCTATGAAAAACTATTTTGACTTTTTTCTCCAAAATTGCAATTTCAGAATTCCAAAATAATTTTGCATACAAGTATAGTTGGTGTTATTAACTTCAGTTATAGTTTGAATATCCTTAGCATCATTAGTTTCATTAATAGTATCTTCAATTTCTTGTATATATTCTGTTTCTTCAGTAGTTTCTCTATTAACAGTAGTTTTTCTTCATTTTATTTTTTCCAAAATATTTTCTTTCCGTTAAAGGGAATTACTTGTTTGTTACTTTCTAAGTATCTGTTTAATTGTTGTAAAATAATTTGTTGTGGTTCTCCTAAGGTGATCATTACTTAAGCTTTCACTCATGTTTAACAATTTCAAAAGAAAAAGTTAAAAACTTTTTTACTTGTTTTACTGCATATTTTTAATAAAATAAAATTAAATGGAAAGAGTCTTAAAATATATAAAAAACTATTTAAAAAATACAATTAGATATGTTTTAGGTATATACTTAAAATATACTTAATTTTTAAATATGTTTTAGTATGTTTTAAATATAAAATAATAATATTTTAAGTAGATGATCACAAATATAATTAAGTATATTTTAAATATATTTTAAATTTTAATAATATTTCAATAATATTTTAATTATATTTTAAGTATTTTTTAAATATGTGTATTTTTTATCAATAATAAATAAAGATTTTACAGATAATAATATTATTCAACCTCATTAAAAACCAATATATTTACTTGAGAAATAAATAAGTTTTTAAAAATTTCCAAAAATTTTTGTCTTAAAATTTTATAAATAATAATTTTTAAAAAGTTTGAAACAAGATTATTTAGTATAATTATTTAACAGTAAATAAACAAGATCATTTTGTATTACATAATAAAAAAAACTTTATTTGATTAAAAACTTTCTAAAAATTTATTTTTTAAAATTTTCTGATGTTATACTTTTATATAGGTACAAAAATAAACTTTTAGATAGTCTAAATATATATATATATATAAATAGATTAAAACTATTTATTTTCTATAGCAAAGTATATATATTTATTTTTTTATCAATAAAAATTATTATTGAATTTAATTAAACTTATTAATAAACTTTTTGATTAATTAACTTAGGATTTATATTTTCGTATCATATATCATGTGACTTAAGTGAAATATTTTCTTTTCATTTTTTTTATTTTATTTTTCTATCTTTAATTATATTTCTTTCTAAGTAAAACTATTCAACTTATTTAGTCCTTTTTTTATATTGTTCTTCTGAATTAAGATTTTTTATTAATTTTTCTTTCGTTATATTTCAATTCTTATAATTCTTATTTTCTTTATATCAAATTGCTTTTTTTTATCTATACTCTTTTTAAAAATTACTTTCTTTTAAAATTCTACAAATAGATTAAAGTTTTATTAGTTTATAATATATTTTATTGTTGTTTTATAGTGTCTTTAATTCATATTATCATAAATTATCAATGGAATTATTATTTTTTTCTGTTTTCTATATTGTAGTGATACAAATCAGTAATTAGGTGAAATGTTATAGGGGATGAAAATTTGTGACACTAGATGAACATTCAGATAATTGTTATCCCAAGTAAGATGACCATACAAGGATGAAGGATGAAGTACAAAGATAAAGGATGAAGGATGAAGGATGACACATAAAGACTAAAAGATAAAATACAAAAATGAAAAATGAAATATAAATAAAAGAGAAAGTATAAATATGACTGTTGTCAGGAGTAAGTTTCAGTAGTGAGAGTTAATAACAGTTCAATTAGTTTAATTAATCAATAGTTAGAAATAATTCAGAATAATTCAAAATATTTTTAATAAATATTAAATAGAAAAGTAAACTTCCTTTAGGAACAGAAAAGATAGGTCACGCTATAATATTTCTGTTGTTAAATGATACTTTACTTTTAAAAACTTTATATTTTATATTTAAATAAACTTATATCTTGTTGTGAAATATTATTAAATATTATTTAATACTGTGTTAATTGCTTTTACTCCACCTTACTCATTGTGCCTTCATGATTAATTAATTATTATTTGATTATTATTATTATTTATATATATTTATTATCTGTTTCAAGATAAACTAGTTAAATCGATTGTATTAGTTGTGACCTACTGACAGATAGAGCATATTATTATGTTTGTGTGATGCAAACTTTGAAACTGATTTGAGAAATTATTTAAAATACTCTGCACTCTTGTATTATATTTCTTTTATATTAAATTTTTATATTATAAAAAGAATTTTTATGATAAATAGTTTCTTTAAAGATTTCAGATATTATAGTATATTAATTTTTGACATTGCTAAATTATACCAGTGATGTTTAATACCAGTGATTATTAATCAATAAAATAAATGCGTGATTTACATATGATTTAATATAATATAGTAAACACATGATTCACTGATTTAATGTATTATTGTATTTAATAAAATATACGCATTATACTCAAAAGATCAAAAAATAAATTGTGATATATTGTCTTTGTTTATTATAACTTTACTAAAAAAAAATGCCATTATGATACATTCTTTTTTCACTTTCTCTTTATAAAAAATATTTTTTTTTCACTTTTCCTTCATGAAGTTAGCCAGAAATAGTCTTCACTTTTGCACACATTCATGCATTATGCCCTTTTTCATTACAAATACCACACACTCTCTTAGTGTTGGTTTCTTCATTTATTAGGTCATTGGACCTATTATCTTGTAATATTTTTTGGACCTTTTTACATTATACTTCCTCACAACTTATATTATCTTGGTCAGGTTCGGATGCTACTCTTTTTTTGCCCTTCTGATTTACATTCACATGACTGAGATCTTCAGAATTCCAGCTGTTCTCTTTGTTACTTTGGTCCATTTTGATTGTCTCCCTTTTTTTACCCTTATTATATTTAGGCTTCCTTCCTTTTTTCTTTATGCCAATAGGATTGTTAATAGTGGAAACAAACTTGGTGATATTATCTCCGTTTTTAACTTGGCCAATGATTTCAGATTCCATCTCCTTAGCTAACTTCAAATAAAGTTCATAAAGTTCTTCTGTTCTGCCCGTTGCGATGGCCAGATTTAGCGTTTTCTTCATAATACCAAATCCTTTTTCATACTGTTGTTTCTGGGTCATCTCTTCACGAACCTCTTTGGTAAAAATGTAATTCCCTAGGATGGTTTCTAAGTGTGAAAAGTTAACTTCAATATCATGTTCCACAGTGCCAAATTCTTGACCAGAAATTGTTAAAATCATTTTCTCATCTTGAAAATGAGGATCCTCTTCTATAATCGAGTTCATATATCAACATTGAGGAACAAGTCTAATATTAAATTTAGCAGTTGGCAAAACTAACATTACTACAAAGAAATGACGACATACAAGACTGCGATTGATTAAAGTTAGATATGTACAGAGGTGTGCGGCATTATCATATAATACCACGAAATGTTCGCTTGTTTTGTTAATAGAAGTAACACACCAAAGCTCATGAATTCTTTCTGGATTAGGGTCCATAATTAATTTATCAAGTCCAATTATGCAAGCGTCAAACATATCTTATGAAAACATGCCTTTTGGTAAATCAGAATTGACCTATTATAAAGGAAAAAAGGGAAAAAATTAATAAATATCAAAAAATTATGAGAAATTATATCCTTTCTTTTTCCAAATTAGTTATCTGGCATCAATTATACCTGCCACCCAAATTCAAAATCCAAATGCCGAAATCCCAAATGCCGAAATCCCAAATCCCAAATCCCAAATTATGATTAGTATTTTTTGCCGAAATCCCAAATCCCAAATCCCAAATACTAGTAATTTGGGATTTTGGCGTCCCAAATCCCAAATGATTTGGGATTTGGGCAACACGTATAGCATCAATAATGCATATTGCAATTCATTTCATTTTGTTGTAACTTGAGAATTGCAAGTGTCAAATAGTGTTGGCAAGACATATCAATTACTTTGAAATAATAATCATGATAATTTTCATTTCGGCTTACAGGAAGCTTGCTTATAACCTCCTTAAAATTTATAAAACGACTTTCCCTCTATAACAATCTTTCAATTACGGATTTGAGTTCTGTAAGGGATGAAGATCTGTTAATATAATTTTTAATAATCCCATTATATGATTCTACCCTTTGTGTATTTTATATACTGGCATTGAATGCATGATGTGTAAAGCACAATACCCAGGTTTCCTGATAGAGATAAAGTTGACATTGCAAGTAGTTAGTAGCATCATTATATTCGGATAATAGTGCTGCCCATTTTTCTTCGAAAAGATTTTACATGGCTATTACATGCGCAGCAGAATGTTGCAAAAAATTTGTTCCATTTTTTGCCAAGATATTTGCTCAAAAAATGTTTTTCAAGATTTTTTCAGATGTGGAATAGACAAAAATGATGTTTTGTCATTGGCCAAGAGCCATTTACCATGGCAATCATCGCTGGGTCAGCATCCGTATATAGCAGACGTGGTACTAATCCACGTGTTATATTGAAGAGGCTTTTAAATAACCATGTGAAATTATCCTTGGTCTCATCCGAAAGGATAGCTGTAGCTACAAGGTGGGAGCGGTTGTGATTATCTACCAAAATTATGACACACAGAATCATCGAATGGCAATTCGTTTTTGCAGTTGTATCAAGAAGGATGATATCATGAAAACGTGATCATAATTCTTGTTAAGAGAGGTTTATCCAGCAGAGCTGAATAAGGTAGTTATCTTGGCCTTCAAACTGTACATCAATATGAAAAGTCAGATTTTCTTGCCACTGGATCATGAGATCAAGATACATCGAACCAGCATTACTTTTAGAATGGGTTTGATGACAACAAATAGAACTAACCAAATTATAAACATTTTTGTTGTGAATATATTTTTCTGAATTTTTATGTTGTAAAACTTTGACGATCGTACCAGGACGCATACCACATGCTGCAAGCAACTTTATATCATCACACATTTCTGAAGTGAATCTTCTATAACTGGATGCAAGAGTAGCAATATTCTTTACACGTTCGTGATTATGCTGGTCTTCGACTTTTGTAATGTAAATTAGATTGTCATTCTTCTGGCAATAAGTATTAATACAAAATTTGCAGTTATTAGAGATATGTCCTGTATTGCAACTGTCTTTTGTGTGTGCATCTTTTCTTGACACGTATTTTCAGCTCCGGGAACATGCGTAAATACGTCACCTGGGCAAACTGTCCTTTTTATCCTTCTCGTTATGGGTAATGATAAATGCAAAACCTTGTTCCAGTCTATGGTTTTCAAGTCATCTTGAAATAAAGATGCATTCAAATTAGTTTTTATTAAGTAAATATAATTTTTTTTTAAGTAGAGGGAAAGAATTTTGACAACTATTTTGTCACATACATCAGGAAATTTTTTTTTTTTAGTGAAAACCTTCGAAAGTTAACGTTAACATAAGTATTTCATTGTTTTTCGATATGTTATCATTCGAAGGTCTTCACTAACCTTCGAAGGTTATCGATTTTGACATTTTTACGTGACAAAACTTTACAAATATTATCATTTTTGTAGTAAATTCATATCAATAACCTTCGAAGATTATTGATTTTGATATTTTCATGTGCGAAATTTTATGAATATTATCGTTTTCATAGTAAATTCGCATCGATAACCTTCAAAGGTTATCAATTTTGATATCTTCATGTGTGAAATTTTACAAATATTATCATTTTTGTAGTAATTTCATATCGACAACCTTTGTTTATGTTAGATATTCATAATATATCGTTTCAATGGTCATCACTTGCATTTATATCGCTGCGATTTTCAATCGACATTGCACTGCCAACGATATCCTTCGAAGTTTATCGCAGCAATTTTAATTGACATTGCACTGTCAACGATATTCTTCGAAGTTTATCGCAGCAATTTTAATTGACATTTGCACTGTCAGTTAACAATATCCTTCGAAGTTTATCGTAGCAAAATTACATTGTTAACAATATCTTTTAAAATTTA